TTGAGCGCTCCACCAAGATGTATGTGACATGGAAGAGTAACCCATGAGCCTAACTCCTTGTGCATTTGCAGTCCAAAGCAAATCTTAAACTATGCACAAATTTAGGGGGAGCTCTTGCTTATCACATACTTCTCAAAACGACGATGTTTTTCAATCTTATTATCAATTGTCGAAGCTTTGATCTATATGTTGTCATCAATTACCAAAAAGGGGGAGATTGAAAGTGCAACTATCCCTAGGTGGTTTTGGTAATTCCTAAGGACATATAGCTCATTGAGCTAATACTATTCCAAGACAAATATTTCAGGAAAAGCTCAATGAATGGCATGGCATGGATGAGGAAAGTGGATCCCTCAAAATACTAAGGATAAAAGGATTGGCTCAAGCTCAAAAGCTCAAGACTCTACATTTTACATTTTAGTGATCCAAGATCACATTGAGTCTATAGGAAAAGCCAATACTATCAAGGAGGGATGAGGTGTTGCTTAATGAGTTTCTTGCTTCAAGTGCTTAGTGATATGCTCCAAAAACCCTCAACTACTTTCTCATATCCTCATATGACCTAAACCTAAAGTCAAACTCGGCCCCACCGATTCTTTCTATCCGGCGCCACCGAGTTCAGATGTCATAGCCACTGCCACAAACCCTAGGCAAATCGGTCTCACCGATAGGGATCTCGGTCTCACCGAGATGGGATTGTAATCTCTCTGTTTCCATTCGTAACGTTTCTGTCTAACCGAAGTGAGCGATCGGTCCCACCGAGATTGCAATGTAAACTCTCGGTTTCCCTTTCATAACATTTCAGTCTCACCAAAAAGAGCGAATCGGTCCCACCGAGTTTACCTGACCAACTCTCTGGTTAGCTTATTACCAAAATCGGTCTCACTGAGTTTGTGTAATCGGTCTCACCGAGATTACATTATGCCCTAACCCTAATCATATCGGTCCTACCGAGTTGCATGTCGGTCCCACCGAAATCACTAACGGTCACTAGGTTTACTAAATCGGTCTGACCGAGTTTATTGATTAGGTCCCACCGAGATTGGTAAATTGTGTGTAACGGTTAGATTTTGTGTGGAGGCTATATATACCCCTCCACCTCCTCTTCATTCATGGAGAGAGCCATCAGAACAAACCTACACTTCCAACTTACCATTTTTGAGAGAGAACTACCTACTCATGTGTTGAGGCCAAGATATTCCATTCCTACCATATGAATCTTGATCTCTAGCCTTCCCCAAGTTGCTTTCCACTCAAATCTTCTTTCCACCAGATCCAAATCCTGTGAGAGAGAGTTGAGTGTTGGGGAGACTATCATTTGAAGCACAAGAGCAAGGAGTTCATCATCAACACACCATTTGTTACTTCTTGGAGAGTGGTGTCTCCTAGATTGGCTAGGTGTCACTTGGGAGCCTCCGACAAGATTGTGGAGTTGAACCAAGGAGTTTGTAAGGGCAAGGAGATCGCCTACTTCGTGAAGATCTACCGCTAGTGAAGCAAGTCCTTCGTGGGCGACGGCCATGGTGGGATAGACAAGGTTGCTTCTTCGTGGACCCTTCATGGGTGGAGCCCTCTGTGGACTCGTGCAATCGTTACCCTTCGTGGGTTGAAGTCTCCATCAACGTGGATGTTCGATAGCACCACCTATTGAAACCACAGCTCAAAAATCACCGTGTCTCCAAATTGCGTTTGAAATCTCCAAACCCTTCCCTTTACATTCTTGCAAGTTACATGCTTTACTTTCCGCTGCTCATATACTCTTTGCATGCTTGCTTGAATTGTGTGAAGATTGCTTGACTTGTGCTAAGATAGCTAAAATCTGCCAAAGACTAAAATTGGGAAAAGATTAAGTTTTTAATTGGTCAAGTAGTCTAATCCCCCCCCCCTCTAGACATACTTCAAGATCCTACAATAGTCCTAAGTATGAAAGGGTAAGTGGGGAGTAAAAGGGGAGAGATGCATGGGTCATGCCCCACAGCTGCATGCACACCCGCCCGTCTGCAAGGGGGTGTCGTGGGCACGGGGCCCATGTGCACAGGGTGTCTAGAGAGCTAGAGGCAGCACCCTGTGTGCATGGGAGTGTATCGAGGGCACAGGACCGTGTACACGGGGTGTCCAGAGAGGTCCTCGCCTACTGGGCTTCGCGTGCATACCTATTGATGCTTCCAAAATCTAGTCTTGGTCTTCACGGTTCTTTCTCCACTTCTATGCTCCCCATGCGGATGGTGTGGGCACTCTCTTTTGCACAACTTCCTCCATTGCACGTTCATCATTTGGCTCAAACCTCAGCTGCAAATGGTTGGGAGGTCAAGTAGTATACAGTCCTTCACAGAGTCAAGTAGACATGTGTAAAGGAGAAGATTCACCTTTACATGTATGATGTGGAAGATGCATGTGTCTCTTGAGGATGGGGCCCTTGATATGGTGATGTCTGTAAGGTGCTCCACACCAGTAAGTCGCGGTATCGCCGAGAAGGAGGAGTATGATCGGCGTGACGCGGAGGATTCTACCATCCTTAATGAGTGGCCAGATTCTAATCCCAAAGCACGTATGGTTGTTTGCTATGTCAAGAACGGCTATGAGCATATCCCGTATGGGCAGGAGAGGTCTCGCCCATGCAGCTCATATTGGCCACCATGTGCTCCTTGCTACCTCAATGTTAACGTGGACATGTGGCATGGGATGAGCTATACGCTGTCTACACGTTGACCGTCTGCCTCGGTGAAATTTCTGAGCAGATCGCCGTTGAGCCGAGGCTATTTCTCGAGAGGAACGTTGCCCTATGGCTCCACTACAAGGAGGCTCGTGGTGGAGCGGGAGCGCATCAGAAGGCGCCAAGTCCAGGCCAATATAGTTTAATTCAAGGAGAGAAACACGCAATATATGGGTTTGCCCCTTGAAAAAACCGTCTACAACCTCGACGACCGTTGACAGGAATAGGATGAAGATGAGGTCATCAGACTTTCACACCGCCACGCAGAGGATGAGTGGACTCGTCACATATGCATGTGCCCTGTATACTGCATTCACCGTCGTCTTGGTGGGGAGCAACTAGTGCTTCCCCAAGATGTAAATAGTCATCACTTTGTTAGTATGAAAACGCCGCTAATCAAAATTTCTATCTCGATGTAACAACTTTGTAACGCGATATTATTTTAAATTAGTGTTTTAGTCCTCAAATTAAGTAAATGATTATTGAGTTGATGGAAAAAATACGAAGGTCACATTATGGCGACTCTATGTTTGCATACAACTGTAGTGGCCTTGGCCCCGGATTGAGAGGTTGATTGGTTTGCTACCAACATTTGGCATTGCCAATATTTGCAAGCCAGCATTTGACAAAATAAAAAGCTACCAGCATTTGGCAAGCTTTTGTGAGATTGGCCACCAAAATTGGCAAGCAACCAATCTCTAGTCAACATTTGACGGTTGCCAAAATTTAGCATGTCAACTTTTGTCATTAAACCTAACTTGCATCTCATGTTGACATCTTATATTTGTGAACGGAGGGAGTATCGTCGATCTTGGCCCCAGATTGACTTGCATGACCTTTCCTTGGCCAGCTCATGCACGCGCCCTTTCGTCCGTCACCAGGGTGATAATTTCTTCCACTCAAAAGAAGAACACCGGAGTGTTCAGAACTCTTAAGCTTTCGTTAGTATCACAAGAGGATTCCATCCACGCTTGCGCAGGCGTTCCTCCGCTATGGGCCCGGTAACCACGTCTAGCTTGGTCCCCTTCTTGCGAGTACAAAACCCTCTCAAGAAAAGTCTCGGCCAAGAGCACAGCCTCTCGTTTCTGTAAAACCGGTTGATTTTGCAAATGATCATTGAGTTTCAGAGATGTTATAGCCACTAATTGTCTAATTAATTACACTAGAGACATCATTTCTCCTTCTATATGTTTGTATCTCGTCGGAGTCATGGACGTGCTCTTCAATGTAATACGCTGCTACTACTATCTACAAGGGCATCTCCAACGCCGACCCTGAAACCGTCTGCATATGCTTCGGACTGCACTGTCTAGACAGCGAAGACATCCAACACGAGTCTTTATCAGTCCGTGGCGCGGTCTGGACGTACTTTCTCCCTTAAACCGAAGACAAACATGAGGCCTTTGCGAGCGTCCGGACAGCCCCCACGCCTGCTTCTATTAGTGCCATGGGAATACAGACCAGGCAGAGACACACATGATTGCATCTGTCCCCTAAAGGCTCAAATAGAACAGCAGCCAGCCGTGGCTTGCCGAGAAACAACAGTAGCCTGCGTGGCCCATGTCGGGGCCCAAACAGATCCGGGGAGAAGGGCAAAGTGAGTGCGAAAAGAGAAGGGCCGTGCTGCATATGCATGTCCACCGTCCAGCTTTTGATAGGACGACACCGCAAGCAGTGTAGACATGCCATCCATTGCTTTGTGCCTCCTTTGTCATGGCGCCAACTCGTTTCGACTTCGAAGCAGCTTAGCTTTTGGGGATGGGGGTGGGGGGCTTGGCCATGTCTACTGAAAACCGCTTGTTTAACTTCAAACCCTGTAGGGTGCAGAAAAATCAGTAGAGATTATGTACTACGCAAAACTCAGAAACTTTGCAGCAGTTGCATCCGAAAATCCACCTCCTTCCCATAATATAAGACGTTTTCGGAAACTAGTCTTACATTGTGGGGCGGAGGGAGTACAGTACAGCAGTGCGGTTGCTAATGGAAGTCGTAACAAGCTAGCCCGTTCTAGGGATCCATAAAGTCTAGATTAGCCTACAGAAAAAGTACACATGGATGCTCAACAGTTTCAGCATACTCATGAGCGTCAAACAATACGGCCGGCGTGATAGCACAATGCTGAATAAAGTCTCCACACACGTCTGCAATGTGCTCCTTTGCATGATGATGGGCTGCGCCCCCAAACATAAAACCTAGCCGCTCCCATCCTTTGTATCTTCTTGTATCTTCCTCCTTCTGAACCTTAGCACTTCCTTGATTGATGGGAATAATAGAGAAAACCGGGTGGCTAGGCAGTTTCTGCATTCGAAGGCTCGGCTTCAACCTTCCACTTCTCAAATTCTGCAACACTCAACAGAAATGAGCTTGCGTTTCGATGCCCCCCACCTCCGAATTCCTGGAAACAGAATCAAACACGATACTTAACAGCAGTCTTGACGCACACCCATTCGCAAGCTAAGGTAGTTCAACAATGGAGATCCATCAGCAGAAAAGGTACCTGGGAGATAGAAGTCGTGTCTTCTTGTTCCAAACTTCTCAGGCTGATTTTTAGCATCTCGTCGTTATTCAACTCGGGGACTTTATATACTACAGCGCCAATAGCTCTGAAAAAATAGAGCGCAACTGGCATTATAAACTGAGACAACATGGTGCAGTGAAGTCGAAATTATATCTTAGATAATGAATAAGAAATAATGCAGAAGAAAGAGAGACCATGGGTTCAATAGACAAATTGGGGAATGTGAAACTTGCCTCAGATTCAAATTCCGACTCTTGTTAGCGAGCTGATTTCCGAGTTCGCTTCTCAGCATTGAAATAGCATCAGCATTGACAGCCTAAGGGGCAACAGAACCAAGAACCAGTATTGTTGATGATAATGAAAAAACAAAGACAGTAAAAAGCTTATCGTAAGTTAAGAGGACCAGACATTAGAAAGTGCGTGGATAAGCAAAATAGCCACTGAAGGATTCCTGTTTAAATTTATGGCTTGATACCAAAAAAAAATCTTGAAGGGCCAGAATCTGAAGGGGTTATCTGCAGAACCCTTCCTACCAAATGCACTTCCACATCACAAAGCTTTCGCAGATTGATTAGTACCATTTCACAAGGGTAAGATGTGCTCAACAGTACGATCGTAAGCCAAATAGACATCTCTAACAATACAGGAAACATATCACTTGGACGAAACACACTGCCCATCAGCCATCATAAAGGAGAATGTTGATATTCTACTATAAATCAAACTAACCACATCAATCAGGTAGAAATAGATTTTACCCGAGATAAATAATTATTAACAGATAGTGGAAGTTAATGTTATGAAAGTTGTGATTATGCAACAATAATTGCAGCGCGTCTTTATGTAGTACCACACTTTCAATCTTTCACATGCATCACCATGGAATGTTGACATAACATGGAGGAAACTTGTCGCACATAGAATAAAAGTTCACAGAGAATAATCAAGAAACAAACAGAGGATAGGGATGTTTATTTTACCAGACAATTCCCAAACTGGCCACATCCTAGAGCAATTTCAAAGGACTTCTCCAAACAATCATCAATTAATGTTTGCTTCTGCGATAATGTTACTTGTCCCCGAGAAATTACTTGCTCCGGATCCAACTCCAGCAACTGCAATCAGACCAGCACAATTTTACAGGATGGTAATGGTAATAAGATCTAGAAGTGCAAAAGGAATATCAGTATCTAAGGTATGTCAGCTGATGTCAGTGCATCTACAATACAGGATGTAATCATCAAGCACTAGAAGTTAAATTATCAGTCAAGATTCAACTGATCCGGTTCGGCCCGTTGGACCGGTGGACCGCACCTTGCTTTGTTGCCATCAGGGTCCAACAGGGGCAAACCCCTTCGAACCTAGGGTCAAACCGCACCTAGCTCACCAGAATACTTCCGCCGCATGACGGGTGGAGCATGGAGCAAAGGCACGCCGCTGGCCACCAGAATAAACTCGTCGGAGAGCGCCGCTCACCCCTGCCAACTGCCGTCTGCTCCACCATCTGCCTCTCCTTTTCCTGGTCGGTCTCCAAGCTCCCCACAGCCAGAGCAGGTTAGCCGTCAGTCACCGGAACTCCGTGACGCGCGGGGGTGCTCGCAGCTGGGGAGTGCCTCCTCGGAGTAGATTAGGTAGTCCCCATCTACAGCATCAATTCACCCTCCTACCAGTTTCTTTGTCATCTTCTTCTCCTGGTGTATAGAACCAGCCAACAAGTTGAACTGCAGCCATAGCCAAGCAAACAACAGCAGCGTGTACTAGCTAGGGGCAGACCTACGAACCTAAAGGTGCCCCGTTACCCTGGGAAACAAGGTGCGGGCCGAACCTTTAACCTAAATTCCCTCTAGACCACATACAAAGACATGCCAAGCTCGATCAACTGAGGATGGCTCCGCTCGCTCCCCTCCCTCCCCGCTCCTCCTAGCCCTCCCACCCACCAGCCCCGCCGCCGGCGAATCCCT